TGTGGCATGGAAATAGAAAGTTCTTTGGTAGTGAAGACCGAGATTGAGATGTTTGTTGATATAAGGGATTTTGGGCTTTGGCAAAAAGGATAAAGGCAATCTTACTTCTACACAAACTAGATCAGGCTTTGTTTGGAGTTGACAAGAAGCTAGGGAAGATGATAAGTAATGCGTAGTTGAAGTTAGATCAAAGTGTAGAGTATGATTCTACTCTGTGGTGCCCACTGTTTTTAAAAACCTTCGCCTAGTCCGTTTAAGCATACGCCTAGACCTAGGCGGTACCTAGGCCGCCTAACTAGCGCCTAGCACCTAGACGGTATTTAGGTTGCCCACCTAGATTTTACAAGCGTTTAGGTTAGGCTGCCCACCTAGATTTTACAAGCGTTTAGGAGAACATTGTCTGCTTACGTAAATTGCACCATATAGGCTTTTATTGTGATTTTATGTGTCGTAGCCTACACGTCCTCCAAACTCCATTAACCTCCAAATATAAACATCTCCACTACCTCCTCCGACCTTCAGCAAAACCTCATCGACCACCACTTAAATGAAGAAAGAAAAAAACGTTCAGAAACCGCTTAGGTACCCGCCTAGACGACTAAGCGCTAAGCACCAAGTCCGACGCTTAGAAACGCCAAACGTTTAATGTAACATTGGTGGTGCGACATAATCAAGGAGAAAACTGCAATTGGTATGTGAAAGAAACTCGAGGAGTTGTGCATGACCTAGAATCTATCTACAAACTTATACCGGAAATAACAGTTGTATAGACTACGGATGAAGGAAGGTATAGTAATGTCGGAGCTAAGCACCTTCAATAGGATTGTAATGGAGTTAGCGGCGATGGGTGAGAACTTGGAGATATGAACGAAGCATAATTTTGTTGAATACTCTTAAAGCAAGTTACCAATATATTTAGACATTGCGGATTAATCAATGTTTCTTTTGCCAAGGAAAGGGTCATGTGAAGAAAGACTACTTCAAATGACAAGAGCTGTTGAGAGGGCAAAAGGTGGAGGATCGGACTGTGGCCTAATCTTTGTGTGCGACAGGTATTGAGGAAAATCAATGAGTGGTCGTGTTGGCAATTTCAGAAGATAAAAGTCAACGAGTTGAGTTGTTGATGGTTTTCAAGTACAACACTTCTTGTGACAGTTGGGTAGTGAATTTTTAGAACATCAACTCATATATGTTCCCGAACAAACATGTTAGACTCCCTAGTACAAGAAGTCAAGGAGACTATCTACGTGGTATGGCACGAAGTGCGACGTTGTTAATGTAGGAGTAGCCATTGTGGTTGGAAGAAGGGGGAGCATGGTCACCTAAGCAAATAGTTAGTCCCAAAGGAGGAGGGAGAATCTAATATCTACCGAGGTGCTTACTCTATAATGTGTCGAACTCAAGTGCATGGAGGAGTCATCACGGTATACAACAAAATGAATCTCATCATTAAGGAAAAGAAGTATGGAGATGTCTTATATCGAGTGTCTGAAAGAACTGGTATTCAAGGTGGAGCTCCGTCTTCAAGAGGGTGGACAACCACGAGAAAGAGTTGGCAACAAACATGGGTCCCGAGGGAGAGCCGAAACAGGAGTTTGACTCCAAGTGGAATTAAGAAGAAGCCCACAACAAGTCTAGAGCCGAGCTTGGAGTGTGCAGTAATAGGGGCGATGTCAAGTCGATAGAAGACTGGCATCAAACGGCAAGCGATGAACACTTTAGTGCCCTTTGGAGAGGGGGCTTAAAACTGATTTCTCAATGATGTTCGTTCTCTACAAAATTTATAATGTTACAGTAAAAGTTTACAAGGAAGGGGCCGACATTTTTTAAGGTGGTTACATACAAAAAAAATGAAGATTGTTGGTGAGGAAATCCTAGTTGGACTTGGATTGGAATCAAATTTAAGTAGAAAGAATCAAATTCATTTGTAATTTGAATTCTAATTGGAAAAGGATTAGAATTGATAATCCAAAAAAGAGTCCTACATGAATTCAAGATAGGGGATAGACTCTTTAAATACCCCTTAAGAGATTTATTATAGATCAAGCCATAGGAAAGCAATGGACTGTTACGTATTGTAAAAGAGAGGTAGAGGGAACTAAGGAGAGAAATCTAGTGTTTCTGAGAGATCTTATTAAAAGAGGATTTCTTGCAGGTTCTTCAAGAACGCAAGAAATGTTATACATTGTATAATCTCTAGTAAAAGAAGACTCAAATCTCTCCATAGAGTTAGGCGATTGTTTGAACTATGTAAATCATCATGTATTGTGATCTTGTGCTTTTTTTTTCCTTTTTATGATTTATTGCTTTCTCTTTTTTTCGAATAAGTTTTCTCGGAGTTTCCACATCACCAGGTGATCAACTGATCTATGAAGACGGATGAGATTTTATTGGGAGTTTCAGTGACACTTTCACAAGCAATGTTTCTGCATAGAACACCGGTTGGTGACCCACAACTAGTATCAGTTTTCCATGTCCTTTTATAAGGAAACAACCCTCATCTTTTCAGTGGAGAGAGGGTCAGGAGATGAGCCAATGTTGATGAATGGGGTTTCTCCATTTGGTTGAACCCACCTAACAATCTCCCTTGCAGCCCACTCAACAAGGAAAACAGACATCAATTATGACTTCTTAAAGCCTAAGACCAGCTACCAAGAAGTCACTTACCTTTCCCTCAATGTATAGTTAGTCAACATATAACTATTATTATTGGTGTTTATTACTGAAGATGGAGCAATTTCATCTCAAAGGCATTCATAATCATATCTCCTTAAGTGACTACATCCACCCGGCCCCAGAACCATTGCATCCAACTGTGCCATCATGGTCGTTTGAAGCCATTAAAGGAAACGGAGAGCCGCAATTTGTATCCTACAACTATACAAAGGGAAGGAAAAAAAAGGAGAGATGCCAATCTATCGGCGCAATAGAGTGAAAAAAGAGAGATTGGGAAGAGAAGGAATTTTGTTGTGTTTGGATCATGGTGATTTAAGTTGCATTTTTATCCAAGTGATAGTCATGTTAGTTGAAGGTATCAGATTCCATATAGATATAGAGAATTTTTTTTGTGGGATGGATAGTTGAGCTTGTGCTCCCTAAAAGTAACCTTGAGTTTATTTCACATCTCTCACGTTTGTAGACACTCAACGTTGAGTATAAACTTGAGAAAAGGTATAGGTACCTATACTAACTCAACTCAACCAGAGTTAAGAAATTGGATGGAAGAACTAAAGACTATTTTGGCATATTTTATACATAATGAGGGAGAAAACTGGAATTTCAATGACTTGGGAGTAGTAGTTTAGATAAGGTTCTGCTAGGGTAATGGTTAAGGAGGGGGAGAGAGAGAGAGATAGAAGTGAGGGTGAATGGAACC